CATGAGTTCGATCCCGCCTGCCTTGGAGGTGACCCACATGGCGTGGCAGACCTCTCCTGACCCGCCCGCTGCTCCCCTCAGCAGTGTACTTCGTTGATCTGCTTGTTCTGCTCCCTCTGCTTCCCTCTCTGTCTCTGGTGAATCCTCTCACCCTCCGCATCTCTGGCCTGTACCCCAGTTCTGTATGAATAAATAAATATTAAAAAAAAAAAATAAATAACTAAAATGTGTACTGTAGAATGCTTTCATTTCATATACTTTAAAAGGGAAAAAATGTCTTCCAAATAGATGAAAAGAAGTGGTTTAGATGGAATCTTTAAAACCATGGGAGAACTGAAAGCAAGTTTATGTTACTTCCCACTTAAACTCACTAACTGGGTAAAACTAATTTACAAAAAGAAAGGCATAAATTCAGAGTGAAAAAAGAAACAGGCAAAAGAAAAAAAAAAGGAGGGGGGTGGGGGGAAAAAGGGGGCCTCCCTGGTGGCAAAAGGTTAAAATCTCCGCACTATCAAGCTATCTCCAGCCACCTCTGGCCTTTACAAAAATAAATAAAATCTTTTTTAAAAAAGAAGAAGGAGAAAAGCAGAAAAAGACATGGACTAAACAGTGCAGATATCTGACATTTCAATGACTGCAAAGCAGGTTAGACCTATTAGGAAAAAGTGAATCTCTGCATCAAAAGCTACAAAAAGGTTCACAAGTAACTTGTAAACTTTTTTTTTTAAAGATTTATTTATTTATTCATACAGAACTAGGGTACAGGCCAGAGATGAGAAGGGTGAAAGGATTCACCAGAGACAGAGTGGGGAGCAGAACAGGCAGATCGACGAAGTACACTGCTGAGAGGAGCAGCGGGCGGGTCAGGAGAGGTCTGCCACGCCATGTGGAGCTCCTCTGGGGCAGGCGGGGATCGAACTCATGCGGAAGTGGCTCAAGCTTCTTAGTGCTGTGCTTTAGCCCGCTGTGCCACCAGGGAGGGCCCGTAACTTGTAAACTTTTAACTAGGTTCCATAACTAGGACCACCTTAGAGGAAGTAAGGGGGGGAGACTGCAGAAAGGGCGGAAAACAGGAAAACTGGCTGAAAGTTCAAGTAAGAGAGAATTAAGATTTCCATATCTCTCCTCCTTTTCTTTGGAAACCAGTTTACAACTACTCCAGGGCATCCCACACCCCACCCTCCTCCGCAGAAGTCTGGCAGTTTACTCTCTGGAGGCAAAGAATCACACCAGCCAATGATCAACAAGGAAATTAAAGCAATGCATATCTCAGATTCCAGGAAGTTTTTTTCTAATACTATATTACCACATTTTCCTCTCTGCTGCTGGAATTCACAAGACCATGATTTAAAAGGGGGAGGCCTAAGGGAAAAGTTTTGTTCAGCTTAGTTTAATCAATCACATATTAATTCCCAAAGTGATTAAATAAGCTACAGATGAAACATGTGTTTCATTCTTCTGAGAAACCCAAGCCAGATAAAATCTGCTTAGTAAGATGACTACTTATCAGTTCTCTAACTTTTATAAATGTTGCATGCTTGTAATTTAAAGAATATCTAAAATGAAGGCTGCAAAGGGGAAAATTCCTACTAGGAATTTAAAAGTAACATAATTTATTCAACAAATCATATATATTATAATTATATGCAAGATCTAGAACTGGGTTCCATCAAATGTGTCAAGATATATACAGGATGATTACTGACTTTCAGGAACTTCCAAACCGACGATCAAAGAAGCAATAAAGACCCGAGGGGACATAAATGATATTAAAGCTATATTTTTAAAGAGTTTGAAGAAGAAACTCTTTTCAAAATCTTAAAAAGATTTCTACTGATTTCACACCAGCCAATGATCAACAAGGAAATTAAAGCAATGCATATCTCAAGTTTATGTCCAGAACAGATCTTCTGAAAGCTGCCTAAAAAGTTTTTTCTTCCCCAGTCTAACAATTTCTTGTTCATCTTCAGTCTCCCAACAGTATGTTTTGTAGTTGGAGGGATATCATGCTACCAAGACCTTAATCCTTAGCTAATAACCTGAAAGGCCCTGACCTGACTTCCCCCTACGCCCAACTTCTCTATGGTTTCTTCAGCATCTACGCTTCTAACATGTTACCAACATCTAAAATGACGTAATACCAAAATTACACAAAATTCTTCATGTCAACTAACAGAAATGTGAAGATAAACCATACCAAGAAAAAGAAGATTGTAGGTTATCACTGGATAAGTCATTAATATTTTAAGAATAGTATAAATAATGAGGGAAGGCTATAATAATACACAGTATTAACATCTATAGAGATCAGCTCTCTGATTTTAACACATGAAGGAATTAGCTGGGAAATGAAAAAGTCAGATTCCAGACCTTACAAACTGACACTCAAGAGATATGAAATAGGGCCCAAGAAGTTGCATTTTTTAAAAGCATTTTAATCTAACTACTTTCATGAGGACTCCTTATTGAAATCTAACGTTTCTCAGAGTAAAAGCAAGTAAATTAAGTAATGGACAACAAATAGGATTTTGTAGAAATTTTATAAAAAGGAAAAAGCTAAAATGTATACTCTAATCCCTCAAACCACCTCTTGTCTACCTTTATATTTATAGCCTGTGGCACAGAACATTTAAAAAGCAATGCAAACCTTTGAACTCTCCAAGGAAATCATTATTAAGGATTAACACTGAAAAAGCAGTGAAGCAGCTGCTGGTTTAAGACATGTGTTAACCTGGTCATTACAGGCTAATCAAATTAATCACTCAGTTAACATGTTCACTTCCTCCATTTACTTCTATGAAAAATCTGAGTTCAAAATCAACTCATTTTATTTATCTATTTATTTTTAAAGATTTATTTATGTATACAAGAACTGGGGTGTAGGCCAGCAGTGTGGGGGCAGAGGGGAGGGTGAGAAGATTTACAGAGACAAGAGTAGGGAGTAGAACAGCTAGATCCATAGAAATATACTGCTGAGGGGAGCAGCAGGCAGGTCAGGAGAGGTCTGCTGCGCCATGTGGGTCAGCTCCCTGGCCGGGGATAGAACTCATGCTGCAGTGGCTGTATATAGCTTGAAAGCATTGAGACTTTAATCCCTTTGCCACCAGGATTTAGTTGTTAATATTCCTACCAGTAAGTTTTCACCAATCCTGAGTGTTGTGTTTTCCTGAGGCACAAGAAGCTTTAGAAAGGATCAATATTTGCTTGGTCTGGGTATTCATTTCATTTCAACAACTTCATCCAAAGTGGGTCACTTTCACACTGGATATTTCATGTGGGTTCTGCTTAGGTCAGTGAAGTCCCCACACTTGTTTTGTCTTTTAGAAGACAAAATAGTAGCATCTCTAAACAATGTCAGTTCTAAGAGAGTGAATTTAGATCTCTGCACTTCTATAACTGATCCCCCTAAATCTCACTTCTAAAATAGTTCTCAAAAAGAGAAGCTTTGAGCTTCCTTACTTTGATTTCTAAAAATCTTATACTGTAGCTTAATGCTAATAAATTGCAGAAATAGTTATTTAAGTCAAAAGTGTTTTTAATTTTTTTTTAAAGATTTATTTATTTATTCATACAGAACTGGGGTACAGGCCAGAGGCTCAGGGGCAGTGAGAGGCTTCACCAGAGACAGAGTGGGGAACAGAACAGGCAGATCGATGAAGTACACTGCTGAGGGGAGCAGCGGGCGGGTCAGGAGAGGTCTGCCACACCATGTGGTCACCTCTGGGGCAGGCGGGAATCGAGCTCATGCTGAAGTGGCTTTAGCTTCTCAGTGCTGTGCTTTAACCTGCTGCGCCACCAGGGAGGGCCGTTTTTAATTTTTTTTTTAAAGATTTATTTGTGCATACAGAACTGGGGTACAGGCCAGAGGTTCAGGGGAGGTGAGAGGATTCACCAGAGACAGAGTGGGGAGGAGAAACAGCTAACTGACCAAGTACACTACTGAGGGGAGCAGCAGGCAGGTCAGGAGAGGTCTGCCGCCATGTAGGTCACCTACAGGGCGGGGATCAAACCCATGTTGAAGTGGCCCCAGCTTCTGAGTGTTATGCATTAACCCGCTGCACCACCAGGGAGGGCCCAGTTTTTTTCATTTTTAAAGATGAAATTCTGATATTAATAAATCCCAACACTCAACAGCAGAGGTTTAATTAGCAAAAGATTATTGAGCATTATGAAATGCTCCTATATATACTGACACAAACTTATTGTAAATCTGATGTTCAGTTGGTTGATGGCAATTGTGATGAGTCACAATTCACTTAACAACTTATTAAATGCTACCTTAATACAATGTTGCCAAATCAAAAATATGTTTTTGTTTTAAATATTTTGGCTGAAAAAGTTGATGTAAAAGAAAGTACCCTATACCTATTTCTCTTAACTCTGGTTATTTGTATTTTTTAATTATTTAAAGAGAGCCTCTGTTTATCCATAGTTCTCTCGTCCTAATCTCTCAGATCCCATATCAGTCCTAAGACACGACATTCTTCCCTCTCCACACAGTGTTCACTATAGCTGAACCTCTTCTGCCACCCTTCCCAGCCCCCCAACTCTCCCTATCATTTCATCAGGCTAATTAGTACTTATTCTTCAGGGCCCAGCTGAACATCACCTCCTGAGGGGAGTCTTTGTGAACCCCACTGCCTCCATTCTTCCTCAGTGAGATTAAGTTCTCCTATTCCCATGGCACTCTACATAGTAATTATTTAACTGTAACTTTTCTTTCTTTGATATAGTCTATAAAAGCAAGGAGCCAACTAGTTGATTCACTAGTTGGTAATCAGAGTTTAATGAATGGCATTTTAATTGAGTTATAAATACTGAAATGACATAGTTTCTTCCTATTTTAAATAAATTTTAATGATATGCTTAGGTCTAGATTCTTTTTTCTAAATATTGCTTAAAGTATCTCTTCTGTTTAATGCTTACTTTATAAAATGCAAACTCAAGATTTCAATTTCCAAAAAATGATGAAGTTTTAAAATATTTTAAAAACTTTAGATGTAAGATTAAGTTGACTCATAAAAAAATGTAAGACAATTATAAAGACTTAATGCCTGCAATGTGTCTGAAAATTATTTTCCAGGAAATCTACTAGTTAGTAAGAGGACAAACTTTGCACTGTCCCAGAAAATCTGTGATTACAGGAACAGAAAGTCAACACGTAAGAGACACCTCACCCAGCTTCATCTCCTGCTCCCTTTGTGATAAGGACATATATTCACTGAGAAGAATATGGATTCTTTTTTTAAAAAGTCATTCTGCTTAGGAGTAAGAGTAAGGATGGACTGCTAGACAGGTACAGACAAATGAACTAAGCAGACAATTATTCCTAGCAGAGAATTTTTTAGCAAAACGTTTAAAACTTTGTATTACACATTTTTGTAAATTACAAATAAAGAAAATTATGCTACAGGTGATCAATAATGAAAGATTTAGTATTACCTAATATTCCCATATCTGTCCATACTGAAAGAACCATGACCACCATCTTGAAAGGTGGTTGGGGTTAGCAAGGCTTCCAACCATCATATGAACAGGGCCTTTAACAAAGCAATCCAGTTTCTCCAGTGTGTCACTAATAGGATTGAAACAAAAAGGTGATTCTGGCTACACTGAAAAGCATGAAATAACAAAGTTTCTATGCCCTTACTACATGTCAGCACAGTGGTGGGTGCTTTAATGTCTCATCACTACTCGTCCCCAAGACCTTAAAAGGCAGAAGGTATTCCCATTTAACAGACAAGAAAACAGGTTCAAAGAGTTGAAATAGTGTCCCTAATGCCACACAACTGCTATGCAGGGAAGCAGAGTTTAGAGTTTAGTTTAAAATCTAAACTCTATGCTCTTTGATTTACTGCCTCTGGGAAGTAAGATGTTCATTGTTGCAAACTAAACCAAACAGACTCTGAAAATTGTCCTTTGGGATAAAAAAAGAAATGTTTATTCTATTCTTTTCATGGAAACTACAGTAAAGATTCATTAAAGAGCCCCACATTCTAAAATGGAAACTCATGCTCCCACACAAAATATATATGCAAACAAAAACCAAGCATATGTAAACAAAAACTAATACATAGTGATGAAAAGGTCAGGTGGCTTAATTGCTCAACAGTCTCCCCAATCTTGCCACATCATTCAAATTTATGCTTTGACAAAATGTCTAATTCACTATATTTCACAGGCCTTTGGGTAATCATAACAAAATGTTCACTCTATACATGCCAAGTGTCCAACATTTGCAATCAGCAACGTTTAAACCTTATTCTAAGAACTAAAGTAGAAACAAGTGCATATATATTGCAGAATAATCATCCTAATATTGGGGACCAAGATTTTTCTAAGAGAAAAGAGGGAAAATATAATTTTACAGAGGTTTTGAAAGTGAGTTATATTGGAAACAGTAACATAAATCATGATTTATTTTTAATATGCTATTATTTCTAGGTTCATTCATCTAGAAACAATAATAATGTCATTCCTTATAAGAAATAGCAGAGTTCTTTAGACTGATTGATTTTGGGCTCGGGAAAAACAGTATAAACTTAAGCCTAGGAAGCCTTCAACCAACTAGCAAGGGAGTAAATAAAGATTGATAGATTCACGTAAAAAAGGACAGAAGAGTAACTTTAAAAGGACTCCAACTAACAAAACTGGGCCCTCCCTGGTGGTACAGCGAGTTAGGACGCAACACTGTAAGCTAGCCAACTAACAAACTTTCGACAACCTGAGCATCAAAAGAATAGATGGATTTAAAGTTACTGAAAATTAAAAATCCATGAATCTATATAATGATACCCATGTAATGAAAACCTTACCCAATGAAGCAAAACAAAAAATCCACTCTCCTTTGCTACCAATGGAGGGACTATTAAACCAATTCTTCACTCTGAAAATTGTCCTTGGGGATTAAAAAAAGGAACTGTTTATCCTGCTCTTTCAATGGAAACTACAGTAAAGACTCATTAAAGGGCCCCAGTAAAAACAACATTCTTTTTTCACAGAAGAACGTGAAAAGGATGCAGTAAGAAAAATCACCATTTTGCAACCTCTGACAAATAACTGACTCAAAGAAAGACTGTTAGTGGATGCTAAAATCACTGGATGGAGGACTTATAGGGAACATCACATATTCACAGTGCCTAAGTGTCACAAGTTACTGGCTAGCTTCAAGGGGGAAAAAATGTTAATTTTTCCACGGAAGGGCTTAACTGTCATAGTCTTCAACAATCAAAATTAACATCATTATTAAATGATATAACCAGACAGGAAATACTTCCTGATGTGATGTGATACATAGTACACAGTATGACCTACAAGATATCTGCTCCAAAATTATTTAATTTAAACCCAACCAAGGCTCTACATCTAATTTTCAACTTGTTAGAAACAGAGGAATATGAACCAAATTAAACATCACCAGGAAGAAATAACTAGGTAACTCCAGCATGTGCGACATTCTATGAAACAGTTACCATCAGACCCTTCAACAAGTTTATGTTATGGAAGAGTGGGAAGAATCCAGAATAAGACAGAATTAAGAGGTATGACAGCCATATGCAATGTGCCTGAAACTGTCTCGGCTCATCTGCTAGCATCTTCAGCAGACATGATTTTCTCAGTATCGCCTGAAGCCCACTCATGGGAACCCACATTTCAGTGTACAGCACTCACCTCCACTTAGCAGCTTCATGACTAGCCACAGCTCATCTTTTACCACAAAAGATGTGTAGTAAGATACAATGTTAGGATGATGGCACTGGCTCATTGCTTGAATTTCTTTCTGTAAAGAAGAGAAAACATGGTAATTCATTATATGCAAGCCTAAATTTGGGAATCTCAAGAGCCTATCATCACTCAGCCTGACCTCTTCAAGAATAGCTAAACTGAAAAACCACTTCGTTTCTCTCAGTCATTCTGACCCCTTTTACTACTTCTGTCCTGGCACAGCATCACAGAAGTCTCCACTGGGACACACATTTTTATTCAAGGTGCCCTTGAAGAATCACCTTGGGAAGTCTGGTTTTACAATAGAGTATAATTACTAATAAACAGAAGATAATTTTTGTTTGTGAGTTGCTGGACTTTTTTCTTCTAAAATCATGTTTCAACTCATTTTTGTAAAATGATTTATATTCTCACCCTAAAGAAAAACATACTGAACCAGGGTAAGGTCATAAACTAAATCCTAATTAGAAATTTGGGCCAAAATTTTAAGCTTATTCCATTTTAGTTTATTAATTTAAATTAGGTCCTATGACTGAGCCATAATAAATGTCAAGTGAGACACATCTCGTCTAACCCTGGTCATTTAACCACCCTATTGTTACCACTGACTCAAATACATTTTCTTACCCAGCTGAATTGCCAATTCTTTCTGATCTCAGCTGACATTTGAGTTCCTCAAAGCTTCCTAAACTGAGTAAAGTGTGCCTTCTCTTGGTTTCCAAGCTCCCTGAATATCTCCTTTTATCACTGGCACATAATATATGGCAACTTGGGTGTTTGTCTGTCCCTTCCTACTTAATTGAGAGATAAGTACTTAAAAATGAATTCCTTAATACTGTGGAAATTATCAAACTATAATTACCTGTTGAATGCTCTATAATGCTAACAAGACTGTAAGTTCAATGAGAACTAAGACTGTTTCCTGGTGCTTATCACTGTACCTGGCACACAAGTCTACCTTCAATAAATATTTACTGAATGAATGAAATCTACAGCATTTCATACAGCTTTTTACTTATTTGTATATTTGCTCTATGCCTTTGGTATTTGTTCAGTAAGATCAACTGTGTAGAAGTTGTCCATAATTTCTATGGACATGAGTAATGCTCAATAAATACTAGTCTCTCTTTTCTTGAATATAAATTACTTTATGATAAGGACCTTGCCATATGCATCTTTGCAACCTCCAAAATGATCAGCACAGTCTTCTATACTGAAAGCTAATTACATGTGGAAAAGGACTGGAGGTAAGTATGTGACTACTAACGTGCAGTCTTTGAAGAGAGAAAGACACCTACATGTGTACAACAAAACATACCTGCCAAAATAGTAAAAACAAAACAAAAATGGACAGGAAGAATGTTATACATAATGTAATTATGTATAATTATGTATAATTAATGTAATTATGTGTTTTTATGAAAATGTTTCAGTTATGTTAATTCTTACAAATATATAGGTTTATATGTACAGTGTGTGTGTGAGTGTGAACATGTTCTCTTTTGATTCGAAACCCCTAACCAACAGGGTTTCCATCTCTACCTGTTCACAATTTCTCTAGTCCTGGTAGTCCAGGACAGAAACATCTCCACAAAGCCCCCCATCTTTGTAACTGGGTGCTCCCTTCCTCTTCTTACTTCTATAATAGTTTACACCTCTCAGGAAATTTGTTGCACTCTGCGTAATAGAGCAGGCAAGAGCCTTAATGCTTCAGCGAGATCATGAGTCTCCTGGTAGGCAGAAAGGCTAAATGGAGATGCTCATCCACGCCCAGGGAATTTAGTCCCACCATCTATTAAAGAAGAGAAAAAATGCAAAATACTGCACTGTGTACCTTCTTTGGAGAAAAGCCTCTTAGTAAAAGTCTCAGCAAAAATAAATGTAGTAAGATTTGACAGCTGATTTTCCCATCACACTTAGCACAAGTTGTCAGACAAGAAACATTTTGACAAGAGGAAGGAGCAATATAGTGCTGCCTCATTAGTAACTGTCACACATGACACACACCTGTAATCCAGCTTACATCAGCACCCTCTGGAGAACCCAACCACCCTTTCTGCATTGTAATAGTTTTGAAAATAAATTTTCAAATTACAACATGAAAAGTTGAGTATGTGGAGCTAGTATTTTAACATAAACTGAAGGGCTTCAGGAAATAAAACACTAGGCACTCAGATCTCAGGTCCTAGCACCACAAATACCACAAATCAGGCATTCTTTATATTCCTGATGTTTCTTTACACTTCATTGGGATCTTATATGCTTTCTATCCACCTACCCAAGTGAATTATCTTAAACTTGCTTTACTAACACTCGCTTTCCCTTCCTTATTGCCAATACATGAACACTGTAGTTGTAATGTAAAGCTTATTATAATATGTAGAACAATTATGGAGGTATACCCAATTTTTTTCTTTAGTGTAACAAGAAAGTTATTTTCAAGAATGTCAAATACTTGATGAGAGATGTCCCACTTTTGAATTAAAATTATCATTCTGTTAATATTATATGAAGTAGAAAATAGTAGACCTGAGTCAAAAAGACCTGATTTTTCATACTTGTATATTGACTTCCTTCATCTAAAGTACAGGATTACTACTACCTGTCTCAAAGAGCCGTTTAGGAAGTCCAAATACACTTGAGTGCCTCACACTGTGAAGATGTTTGTTATTACTATCATGTGAACTTAGTCAACTTTCTTAAACTTCGGGTCTTTAGTCATGAATTAATAAATAGACTTCAATTTTCTTTACACTATACTTATGGAGTGTATAAAGTAACTGGAAAATAATACTAACTCATGTTGGAGTTTCCTACTTTCAGCCTTAATAGTACTCTAAGGTATTGTAAATCCAAGCTCATCAAGTAAGATTTCAATCAGTATCACTTTCCACGTGTGTTCTATCACCAGAATCACTTTTCTGTTGATACATTACCAATTCCTAAAGAAATATATTTGTCTCCTCAATATATAATTCTATTATCCCTTTTCCATTTATTCTAATTACTCCCATTTATTCCAAATATATCAGAAATTAAATCCAATCTGGGGCACTAGGGAAAAAGCTTCTGGAAGATGATATTGTCCCAGTCTTAATTCTTATCCTTTTTAACTCTAGCTATAATAAATTACTTAACAAAGTATTAGTTCACATTTGTATGGCAGTCTGTAGCTTTCATGTACTAGGTTTCAAGAAAAACTTCATAAAGTATGAAAAGCTATTTCTATTTAATCAAGGATACTGAGGGTTTTAAAAATGAAATGACTTGAAAACCTCTCATGTCCCTTGCAAGGCACTTACTATACACGTAAAGTGACTCTGGTGTCACAGTACCTGAGAAAAGAATAAGACAATGCCTGTATGACTAGTTGTCAACGCCATTGAGCATCTCTTGCAGCTACTGAACCTAGGACTTCCTTTCCCAGGCCTTCAGGGAAGCCAGCACAGGCTAAGGGTCACTCTAGCGCCCCTCCTGGAGCACTGGTCAGAATGTAGTTTGTTACCATTCTTAGGAGGCCAAAAGTCTTTTAAAGTCCATTTGACCCAGCAATCATAATCCCATAACACTATTTTAAGGAAAGCAAGAAATAAACTACCATTGTTTACAACAATAAAAAGGAACAAATAAGGTAATTACCCATACCCAAGAATAAAGTGTGGCCTACCTATTTAAAATAATTCAACACACATACTGAAACTGTATTAATCTATATTTATAAACAAGAAAAATGTCTGACAAAAAATTGTTCAATGAAAACATATACATCATAAAAATACAAAACTGTTCAATTTGTATTCTGAAAAATTATACAGCAAGTGTTAACCCCAGAGTAAAAGGATTATTTTTTTTCCCCACTTACCTGGACTTTACAAACTTTATAATAACATGACTTATAAAGGAAGAAATCACAAATCTTTTTTTTTTCAAATACATCAAAACTTCCAGTTGTTCCCTACTCTAACATGAACATGTGTATCTCTTTACGTAAGAAATACCAGATGTGCATACCAGGAGCTCATCCATGCTAGTTTGACATTTCTCAAGGTTTATCCGTTTGATTGCCACTTTCTCCTTTTTAGGGGCACAATATGCTGCTTGGACCACGGCAGTTGCTCCACTCCCTAAAAGCACATAAGTAAATAAATAGGTGAATAGATAAAAACATGACATTTTTCGGCCCTCCCTGGTGGCGCAGCGGGTTAAAGCACAGCATTGAGAAGCTAAAGCCACTTCCGCATGAGTTCGATCCCCGCCTGACCCGGAGGTGACCACATGGCATGGCAGACCTCTCCTGACCCACCCGCTGCTCCCCTCAGCAGTGTACTTCGTCGATCTGCCTGTTCTGCTCCCCACTCTGTCTCTGGTGAAGCCTCTCGCCGCCCCTGTGCCTCTGGCCTGTACCCCAGTTCTATATGCACAAATAAATAAATCTTTAAAAAGAAAAAACATGACATTTTTAATTCCCACGCAACTTAACCAACAGAAGAATAAACCCTATTATATTCCTAGACTCAACAACAGATGCAGAAAAACACTCAAAATAAAGTAGGGTATTCATAAAAGCAAAAGCCTTGACCATTCCACAGAATTCCAATAAATGCCAGTGTATAGATTTAAATAGTAAGTGCTAAGGTTCACTCCCCTGCTCCTCTTCTCTAAGCATGACACAAAAATCTGTACACAATGTGATTCTATTTATATAAAATATTTAGAATAGGCAAGTCCATGAAGGCAGAAAGTGCCAAGGATTAGATGTAGAGGGAAATGGGGAGTGCTGTTACTTGGTACGGTGCTACTTTCTGGAGTAATGAACGTGTTCGGAATTAGATAGTGGTGACAGGTGCACAACTCTGTAAATATACAGACTTGTACACTTAAGAGGGCAAATTATATGGCGTAGGAATTATTTCTCAGTAAAGCTGCTTTTAAAAATCTCTTCAAGTATACCACCAAATTTCTATAAATGTGTGGCAACTGAAAACAGGTCTTCCCTGGTGGCCTAGGGGTTAAGTCACAGCACCAAGATCTGAGTTCTATTCTGGCCAGGGAGCTCACCCACATATGGCACAGAATTTGTTCAATTTATATCCATTTGAAAATCCCTGACTAAAGTCACGTATATATAAAACCCTAGTCAATACTGGCGTGGATAAACCCAAATCACTATTGTAACAAATTAAGTAAAATCTCTGTATATAACCAAGAACACATTTACTATTTAACTACATCATCCAATAAGGTATTTAAATTGTTTTGACAATAGTTCAGGCACCCTAACATGCTGCTTGATAAAACTGATCCAGCAGGCTATAGTTCCTTTATTCTTGCACCTGAGTGTCAGACTAAGACAGGTAGAATGTAGAGCTTGCCACTAACTTTCATTCACCCCTCTCCATCTCCCCATCCCTTCCTCACCGAATTCTTTCTGCGTGGAAATCCTAAAGAAAACTTAGCACTCTCTCTAGCCTTCAGTGAGGAGTTGCTGCTATACTAGGGGAAGGGACAGAAAAGAAGGAAGCTAATCATGCAGGTCGCAGATCTGGCTAAGATGTGAGGCATTACCAAGTCACTGAAGACTCAATGTGGCCTTTGAAGGTGCCTCTGAGCTAGATTAACAGACATCTTTTAATATGGAGATGGCCACAGACTGTTTGCAATTTTAATTTCACAAATGTATACTCTCATGGTATTCTCTTAAAGCCATATTAACTCTAAGGCCAGTTCTTTTACCCCTGAATAATCCAATTTCATTCATCTTATACTAGCTTTCAGCATAATGGCATATCTTACATCAACTAAAATCTTACTGGGGTTAAAAACAGAGATACAGGCAGATATGATGTCAGGTTTAGCTGTTATTAATTCCCAGTCATTATCAAACAGTAAATTTCATTAATGATAATATACTAAACCTATGTATTACCAATCATGATTGTTTATATCCTAAAGTATCTTTAACTCAAAGATTCACTCCCATAATAAACAAGTCTCTCTAGACGCAAGATATTAAACTCTGATGATTTAACAAATAGTCAGAAGACAAGCTGATAGTATTTCCTATACCTGATGACAAAAAGAGAATAACAGGCTCCAGTTTTTTTTATGCCAGTTTCATTTTCATTAATCTTCAGATGATCTTCCCAAAACAACTACCCAAGTATTCTTCAGCAAGTGAAAAATATTTTAAGGTTCTAACAGAAAAGATTATAATTATACAATGAAAACTTACTGCTTTCAACACCACTAATTCTGAACAGCCACTGATATTCAGCTTCTCTAAGAAAAAAACTGACTTCACAGAAAATAGCAATTACAAATGTAAAGAAGACCAAGTAAAAAATCATTTTAAATATTCACTATTTTCTGCAGAATTTAAAAACATACACTTAGAAATACAATTATTTAAAGTATTTCAACTCTCCTCTATTAAGCAGATTCATGTAAAATTCTTCAAACGACAAGTCAAGTTACTGAGTGTCAACTATCATTTTCCTGGGAGTAATAGAAATTATCAGTATACATGGCACAGAGAAAAAGTAAATGTTATTTTGTAAAACTTCTACTTTAGTATAAATTCACATGCAAATATGCACAGGTGTATTTCTTAGGAACTGTGCAGACAAAGTGTGAAGGCTACTGCTCTAATGCCCTCCACTACTATGAAGAACTATGTAAGGGGAAATGTAAAACAATTTCCGATAAAACACCACCCTACTGCAGACTTTCACAATGTTCCCAATTCTTCCATTCTTTTTTCCCCTTCCTTAGTTCCTTAACTGCAGTGTTAGCATACATCACACCAGAGTGGATTAATATGAAAAAAATGTAAAGGCATTTCTCTTGAATCCTTTGAATATGAAAAAAATGTAAAGGCATTTCCTTTGAAATCCTTTGGGCAAATTCATCTCTTGAAACAGAAAAGAAGCTGCTCCAAAGGTATAAGGGGATAAAAAAGAAAATCAGTCTCTCTCCACACAGACCAAAAAATTTAAGACAAAATTTAAAAATGAATATTATTCTTATCTGTGAGTGAAAAATAAATCAAGTAAACCTCATCAGTAGAAGTTATTTCCCCTCTAATTTTGCCAGCAATCTGTATAACAGGTACCTACTCTAAAGATTTTGTTTCTAAGTATTTAAGTAAGGTTTCACATTCACTAAAGAGCTGTCCAAGCTACTCGAAAGATAACTAAGGCATTGTCATCTGCACCACAGAAAATACAGGAATCTAGAATTTTGTAAACCCTTTTCTAAATAAGGCCTTTTGTAAGAGTCATGTTGAAAATTAAAGCTCCTAAAATTGATATAACAGCTGTGAGAATAATCATCACCATAAAAATCATGCTATTCTCTCCACAAAGATGAAAATAAGGACATATTGCCATATGCTTTGGGTAATTATTCAAGCAGCCTGATGGTTCAGCAGTGAATCATCACTCTCTCCTGTTCACTCTGGTGATCTCTCATCTCAATGGATGATAACTGCATCCTTCCAGATGCTCCAGTCAAAAATCTTGGAATCTTTTCACATCTAATCCAATGGCAAATATCTAACTTCAAAATGTTATAACCAGCATCTGACTGCTTCTCACACCTCCTCTACTATCTCTCCCCTGGATAACCTCTTCTTCTATCCTTACCAAACTATTCTCTGTACAGCGGCCCAAATGGTCCTTTTAAAATACAAATCAGGACCCTCCCTGGTGGTGTAATGGGTTAGGATACAGCGCTGTAAGCTGGCCACAGCTGCTTCAGTGCAAATTTGATCCCCAGCCAGGAAGGTAACCCACATGGCACGGCAGACCTCTCCGGTCTCGCCCCTCCTCTATCTGCCTGTTTTGCTCCCCACTCTGTCTCTGGTGAATCCTCCAACCACCCCTGCACCTCTGGCCTGTACCCCAGTTCTGTATACATAAATAAATAAACCTTTAAAAATACACACACACACACACATATAAATCAGATCACATTAATCCTCTGCTGAAAATTCTGCAACGACTTGCAATCTCATCCAAAAAAAAGCCAAAGACCCAGGCTCACCAGGCTTCCCAGATCCCATACTCCACTTCCCCAACCCCACCCTGTCCCGGTCTGCCTGTGTCTCACGCTGCTCGAGCCATACTCAAGGCCTTACTGTTCCTCAGTCATAGTGTGTGCTCTGGTTCTTCAAACGTACCTTCTCACTGAGGTTTCCCTGACCTATTTAAAACTCTTCTCTGTCCTTAGTGGTACCTAATCCCTCTTCCTGCTTTATTTTGTCTTTTATCATCCCAAAATTATAAAAGCAGAGATTTTTGTCTCCTGTTCACTGCTGCCTCTCTAGCACCCAGAACAGTATCTGGCACACTAACAGGAATTCAGTAAATATCTGTTGAACAGATTCATCAATCAAGTAGTAGCATATATTTTTCAAGACAGAAAAGTACCCTCTTGGAGCAGAACAAACACAAAAGTAGCCCAGTCTTGATGGGCATCACCTCAGAACTGCTATCATGAGCACTGACTCTCACTCAGCATGTACAGCCTGCCAGGTACTACGCCGAGCACTTTGTTTACTCGCATTTCTTTTTTTATCTAATCTCCACAATAACCCATAATAATAGGTATTATTGATTTTATAAAGCAATGTAAGCAAAGGTAAGACATGTCATAAATTAGTAAGACAGAACAGGACCTAGAAACCAAAACTAAACGATTCAACACATATTCTTAATGGGAAAGCAGCAGTCTCTTTAGGCTAACACTAACATTGATTGACTACTATGTGTCAGGTTAAATTATCTACTTGCAATATCTCACTGAACTTTAATTAAATAAAAAGAAGCCCAAAACTTTTAGCAGCTAGCTCAAAAAATAATTTCCCCTTCTTATTAGAGAATCGTGACCTATTTTTTTGGTTGAAGTAATAATGTGCCCAGCTAAAAAGCTTCATTTCACAGCCTCCCTCACAAATTGCCAAACACACTGCCAATAAAATAGAAATGGAAGTCACTGAGTAAGGCTTCCAGGAAAGAAAGCCCTTTGAAAGGGAGCCAACACAGCTGTCACGTGCTTTAATCCTTTTGCCATATTCTTCCAGCCTATGCGCCTAGAGGTTGAACAACTATCTAACTATCTTGCA